CTATACCTCAGATTCCTTCCTGCATCGGATTCTGCCAATTGCCTATAAGTGCTTGTTCCGAACTCCATCTTCCATTTTCTGAGTCCTCGTCTGATGTTCTCTCCCCAGCATGCAACCATAGCCCTTTGTTGATCCTTGTTCTTCTTGGTTGACACTGTTCTTCTTCCTTTCCTCTCGTTCAGCTCTTTCCTTCTTCCATTCAATTCCCATTTGAGGGAAGTTTTTGAAATGTGGTGATCAGTCTTCCCACACTTGTGCACCTCAATTGGTTTGTTTTTCAGGACCCTTGGTTTGTTGATGCTTCCCCTTCTTGAAGGACCATTTTCTCTCATTAGGTCTTCTTAAAATCCTGTGTGAGATCATGGTCATCATTCATCTCATCTAACAGTATAGCACCTTCAGTGATTCTTTGAACTGCCATGCTCTCTTCCTTCTTAGTGTAATCCATCTTCATGGTTTTCCTTCTAGTTCATAGGCAGTGAGATTTCCAAATTAGCATTATCCAACTTCAAGAGTGGCAATGTATCTTTGATGCCTGAATAGCTGTGATTTTGCTTTCCCAAAGATTGGCAAGTAACCCTTGTCAAAATCTTCTCAAACTTTATCTTCTTCAGAATAACGCCTTCCAGAGATTTAATTCATTTGTCCAGTGTAGTGAAGCCTAGTATACATCTCTTGAATTGGTTTCTCCTTCTTTCATAGTCAAATTCCATATTGAGAATAAATTAATGTTCCTACTTGAATCTTCTTTACTTGAAGAGTTCTTCATAGAGCACGTTGTAAAAGTGTCCCATATTTCCTTGCAGTAGTACAGACTTTTGAATCGCTGCTGTCACTCGTCTGGACCCATTCCACACACAAGCCATTTCTCTTGCCTTGGCATTCTTCTCCCAATTCTTCAAATCTTCAAGCCGTGCAGCAACTCTTGTCTTTGGCAACAGTTCCAACACCTTGCAGCATTCCTTCTTTGGTAACGTTGCCAGAAGAGAACATCAGTGACTATGTCCCAGAGTTCATAGTCTTCTCCTATGATGTGATCTCTCTCCTATTTTTTTCCACCAAGAGTAGTAGTGGCGCCATTAAAGACGTGGAGGCCTGTCAGTGGATTGCCCTTCCCAGTTTCCAGGTGGTGCGCTCATTTTGATCTGTTCCTACAGGTGTTTAGCCTCTCAAGGATACCACGCTGCTCTGATACCAATTGATGTTCTAAACGTCAATACCAAAACAAGAGGGGGGCGGGGGTGTGATTTGTGTGGTAACCGTGACCATTTTCGCTCATAGAAGAACCTGGTTCTTCTAGGTGATACTAACTACTGTTGTTTGCCGGAATTTTATAAAGGAAAAAAGTTTTAACAAAAAATAAAAAGATACAAGAGATTCTTTACAGTGGAAAATCACACTGGCTCAAAACGGTGAAAAGAACACGACCTACTAAACTGGTCCAGTAGGATTTTCCCAAACATCCACTAAATCACTGAGACAAACGCATTTACAAACACTCTTTGTAAACCTAAAGGATTAACTCTAAATCCCGTATGTAGCACCACCTCTAACTGCTGCGACAACTTAAGTTAACTCTAACTTGAAATACTAAAATACCTACTAACAATTGCTTCTAGATACAGCTGAAAGGTCAATATGAACACCTACTAGCAATTTGAACTAGAAATAAAGAAAGATCACATAAAACTCTTTATGGCAGTGGTTACTTCAATCTAGGTTCAATGTAGTTTCGTGGTTTGCACACTTTGAATCACACACCGACTGGCGTGCAAAAAAGCCTTGCCGATTTGCTCCCAATTTGCACGGTTTAACTTCTGCCGTTTTTTTGTAGCAACACTTTATGTGAGAACATCCTGCAATTTATTAGAGTTAGTATGATGAAGAAATAACTAGAGTTCTGATAACTCTTCCTTGTGGAAAGAGTTTTACTTGATTTCAACTTCTAACTCCTTCCTATCTTGATTTTGTGTTCTCTTGATTAAGGATCTTCCTGCTCTTATCAATTCAATGCAACCTTTTCATCCCGGAGATATTAAATACACCAGTTAAGCTTATATCCTTCCAGTCATCCCCATGCTTTTGAATCTGCCCATTTTTGTTAACCCTGAGGGATGGACCATCTTGGATGGGATACCGTGGTTCATGTCTGAGTCCTTTGGTCAGTCTTCAAAACTAACCTTTAAACTATGGGCCAACACTCAAGAGCATCCTTTCCCCTGCAACCTAGTAGTAGGTGCTAGGAGCAGGGCGTCAGCAAGTGGCCTGCTGTCTCGTTTTGGCAAATGACCAAGCATCTAGAGCCAACATGTTTCCTGATCTTGCTTCATCACTAAGAACTGCATGGCAAGGAGCTAAAATTTCCAAAGGCTCAACATCAAAGTGAAAGGAGAAGGAACATGTCGAGAACTGAGACATGGGAAGAAAGATCCTTGACCTGTCTTTCCTCAAGGAGTGGCGGTCCAGGTTCCTTCAACGAAGGGTCCCAGTAGTTTCTTCTAGTGCAGGATTTTCAAAAAAGCGACCAACAGTTCCCCTCTCACCGACTAATGACAAAGTCTCTTTCCCCCTTGAGGAACCTTCAGACATGGTATGGGTGACTCCCTCAATATACTCATCCATCATGCAGATGTAGTCAGTATGTTTTGCTATGGCCTCTTTTTCTTGAGATGCAAGGATGCACAACTTCAAACAGAAGTACTTAAAGATTGATCAATACCTCCACCTCTGATGAGCTTTTCTAACTGTGGAGTCCTCATCTTTGTTCACTCCATCTTGTTTTGCTCTGTGAGAATCTCCAAGCGACAGAGACAGAAAGCTATCGAGTTTGGGGGTTTCGTGAGTTCTCAAAACACTAGAAGAGAGAGAAAGGTCCGAGGGAGTAAATAAAGGAGAAGGATAAAAGGTGAACAGGGAATGCAGGTGTTAGAGTATCAGTCTGCAGTGGTGGTGGGAAAAGGAATGTGACGGCAGGAGTCAAGGGTTTTCTCGTACTATGGAGGGGATTATCGATTGATCTTCAGCCTGGTGGAATAAGAAGTTTGAAAGTTCTGTTAGAAGACTGAGGAGAAAGAAGCGAGAGAGATGAGATCGGTTCAAAGTGAATTGAGAGGGTTTTAAATGGAAGAAGAGACATATGTAGAAGACGGAGTGGAGAGAGAGAGAGAAATCGGGTTCTGAAACGGCGGTAATTGTGTGGTGGAGATGCAACAAAGGGAAAGTGAAGGGATTTGTATTGAAAAGAGTGACCATTAAAGGGTCTGTAAAAGGGTTGATGACACATGCGTCAATTTTTGTTTCTGTTTAAGATATGTAATGAAAAGAGGTATCAAAGACTACTAACATATGTATAACAGAACTGGTTCTTAACACCTGTCCTTCAAAAATTCTCAATCCTCTTTTACCTCTCATGTACATGCCCTACAGCTTCTATTAATCATCATGGCCGTCTACCTACAACGGGTAATTTGCAGAAAAGTGAGTTTAGAACTTGGGTGGCAAAACCACTTTAGCCGACTTTACCTGGATGTGACGTTTTATAGCATATTAGAAGGAATCATGTTTCCAATTAGGCTTTATTCAAGCCCCACTACAGGCTAATTTCTTCCCAAAATGTTCTCCCGCTTAGTATTCTTTTGGTGAAAGATATCTGCAATTTGGTCTTCTGTACTAACAGAAACTTCATGCGATAAGACCCTTCTCCATATTGTCTTTTTGAAGAAAATGATGTCTCACACAATATGCTTGGTTCTTTTATGTTTGAACCGAGTTTTTGTGGCCATGTTGAGTTGACTGGTGGTTGGATCATAGGTAGATAGAGGCACACAGTCCGGTGTACACACCAAAATCTTCCAATTTGTTGCTGTTGGATCCAAAGGAGCTGGAGCCAGCAGGAAGTTGCGCAGCACATATTCCTGCTTCAGCTTGTTGAAAAGAGCAGACTGAATTCTGCTTCCTTGTGCCCCATGAGATGAGGCATGATCCTAAGAAAGTGAGTCATTCCAGGAAGTACTTTTCTGTCCAGAAATTACCTGCAATAGTCAGGCATCAACATACCCAATAAAAATTAAAAGTTGTCAGTCCTGAAGGGTAGTATATGACCAGGTCCTGTTTCCCTTATAGAGAGTCTCAAAAAGTTGCTCTTGGCATGCTTTCAGAGATTCCTTGGGGTTTGACGAAACCTTGCACATAGCCCCACACTAAAGACAATATCAGGTCTGCTGGCAGTGAGGCTAGAGAAGAGAACCACATAGCATGCCGTCTATACACATGGTTTTGATTTACAGGTGAGCCACATTTCAATGCCATTTCCAATCGAGATAACAGTGGCAATTTGGAGTGTCTATTCACTTTTTGATGCTGTCCGAATATCAAAATCTCTTCAGAAGCTCCTCTGAGTGTATTTTTGCTGAACCTGCTGTAAGTGCTATCCTTTGTGGATTGCTGTTACTGGTAGACCCAAGAAGAAATTTAACTCGCCGATCATGCCTCATCTCAAACTCACTTCCACATCGAGTCTTGCGAGATTCTTCACATAGTGAGTCAGCTGTTGTCCCAAAAATGATAATCACCAACATATCCCAAACGATGTAAGCAGGTTCCTTCACTCGTGTTCTTCAGGCTCGAAGGTGTTGTCAGCTTTCCTCTTGTAAAACATTTCTTAAGCGAAGCTTTGACAATTCCTTTCAATACCCAAAGAGCTGCGAGGGAAGCCTGCTTTAACGAGGCCTACAATGCCTTGTCCAAATTTGAACACATATTCGGCAGCGGTGTTGTTCATGACATTCAATACTAGCCTGGAGTTTGCTTTACATAAACTTCTTCATTTAAGAGAGTCCGTATTCTAGAAAATGCAAAGGTCTTTGTGAACATCCATTTATGGAAAGAGTGAATTCCATATGTGATGCAAAGGCAATGGAGGATTCGACCTAGTCTTCATTGCGAGAAAACTGGAGCAAGAGAGAGTCTCATCATAATAAATTCTTCCTCCTGATTGTAGCTTGAACCACTGACTTGCCCTTGGTTCGGTATGTTAATGTGTTTCCATGTTATCAGCTTATTCTCTGAATAACCACGCTGGTTCCTATGATGTTCGATCTATGAGGTTTGTTCTAGGTACCAAGGTGTCATACCCGTTGTTTGACTTTGCTTTGAACTGATGTAGCATCATCTTAGCATGGCTGTGATCCGAACGTCTGCATCTTTTAAGGCTTCCTTAATGTTTTTGGTTCTATCTTGGGAAATAAAGGCTAAAAAAGCCAAGTGAATTTCTGTCTTTTGATGCCTGGTTTTGTATCGCTGAATCCAGAAGGGGTGATTAATGTTATCAAAG